GTGTACATGAATATATTAGTTAAACATGACATTATATTCAATAATTTGTATATAACTACTACAATATACAAATTATAATCACATATGATATTTTCCCATCTATATAACTAAATCCAATTACTTTGTGTACTAACTTCAATAATTTGTATATAACTAATAGAATATACAAATTCTAATCATATATTCCCGTATACAATACTTAAATATACTATATACAATTACTAAACATGCAATATACTATATACAATACTTAATTTAATATTTTTTGTATATTGACAACTAATTAACCAAAAAATTGTATCTAACATTGTGTTTTAAGACACTACCTCTTGATTATGAAGTTCTTCAGATCCGACTACATCAGAAGCATTTTCCTCTGATTAAATGTTTACAGCTTTCCTCTTTCTTCTTCCTTGTACAATTTTAATGCCTCTAGCTTTGACATTTTTAATAACTTGTTGTACTGCCATAGGGTCGTTTTTCTTCTTTGATCTCAGCTCTTCCATGGTTTGTTCTTGTATAACTTGATTTGATTTCCCCAAAGAACCTACATCAACCCCAAAATCTTGAGTTAGCCCCATTGAAAAGGATGGTAAAATGTCAACAACATTGACATGCAAAGGACTACCTCTTGTAATCCTCAATGATGAAGATGATTCATTCATTGTTTGACCAATTTTAAATCTATCAAGAACAAAAAATCGTTTATTTCATCAAAATATATGGAAAATAATAATAAACAGAACACATATACAAATTTTATATAAGTAAAAAAAAAAGGGTAAACAACTAAAATTAAGGAGTACTTACGAAATTGACTTCAACTTAGGGAGGGAACTTCGACTTCGGGAGGGAGAAATCTAATTTTGGATAACAATTTGAATTTCAAATCGGCTAGGTGGAGTATTAAATGTAGGAGAAAACGTTAGAATTTTAAAAGGAGAGAGAAATTTGTTTGTGAAAAGGAGAGAGAAAATTGTTTTTTGTATAATTATATACAAAATTAGAAAATAAGGTTTTTATACAATTGGTTACATAATAGGTTGTGGACCCCATTAATTATACCAAAAAAAGAACTATAATTATATAAGGTAAATAAATTAAACTATACCCCTATGATATAATTAGTTATGAATGTTTGCCATTTCATATAATTTTCCCATTAGAGGGATAATAATATATTATACATATGTAATTATATATTCTGGCGAATTATACATATACAAACACAACTAATTATACAAACTCAAAATCAGCCCACATAATCAATGTATAATGTTAGTCGCGAATGATAATCATAAGAAACTATAACTATGATGAGTAATTAAGTAGTATAAGTTTGCTTAACTACGTAATTTTTTTTTCAATTTCAAGAAGAATATTATATTTTTATATTTAAAAATAAATTTATAAGATGATTTATAGTCATATAAATATTAAGCTTTATTTTAAATAATAAATTTCAGATATTTTTTTTTCTAAAAGAAAAAGATCTCCACATATATTTAAATGGTATCACATAAACAAAAACACCAGAAAAATAATTTTGAATGGTCCTTTTTGCTATACTAGTCCTCTACTTCCTTTAAAGCGTAGAGGCACACCAAATATTTGGTACAAAGTCATAATCAAGTTCTCATAGAATGGTTCATCTATAAATGTTTCTAAAAGTAGTATATTGTTAATAACGATGTAAATAAAAAAATTAGGGAAAAATAATCTACAAATGGATGAGATTTTGTGAGATAATAGGCTTCAACTCTTTAAAAGTGAACAATAGGCTTCAACAATTGAATAATGTGTTGCTAGTATAGATATATCATTAGATAAAAAGAGATTATATTACTTTAGCTTATTCAATCTTTTGATATCCTTACAAGCCCACCTAAGAATAGGGTTGGACTTTTAAACCGTTCGAATTAAATATGAAAATTTTCTATTATCTTTTATAAAATTAAAATTTAAATAAGATCAAATACCTCTATACACAATATTTAAGGAT